GCTTGTGTTGACTTAGAAAAGAAAGATGAGCAATCGCAGATTTGAAGCTTTAATGGGCCTTTAATGGGCCTAAAGCAATATCCTTTTTGCAAGATTATCCTCTATGATTAACTTGGAGGATTATTAAATCCAGACATTTTGAGTTACTGTTACTATGATTAACAAACACTAATGACATAAAAATACTTCAATCCTGCTGCATAGTTAAAAAGGGAGGGACATGTTTATAGTGTTCAAACTTTAGTGAGAAGCAGAAGCAACTTTCTCGCAATTTTCTGATTCAGAATCATCTTCAGAGAAACTTGGTGGTTTAGGAGTGAGTCCTAATGTCTTGAACATGAGCTGATCAGCGTCAAAATCATTGTTTGGTGTGGTTAAAAGCTTCTCTCCGGTGAAGATTGAGTTTGCGCCAGCGAGGAAACACAAGGCTTGTTCGGGCATCGAGAACCGGACTCTACCAGCAGATAACCTCACCATTGCTTTTGGCATTACAATACGCGCGGTTCCAATCATCCTGATCATCTCCCATATCTCAACCGGCTGCAAACAAAAGAGAGCACAAAATGTTTTCAAAGCCCTTTACCACTAGGTAGCTATGATCTGTGTGTTTTTTCGATTGTATAACAGATACCTTCTGGTCTTCAAGAGGAGTGCCTTTCACTGCAAGAAGAGCATTAATGGGAACACTCTCAGGGTGAGAAGGAAGTGTTGCTAGTGTGTGTAATAAACCTACTCTGTCTTCCTCTGCCTCGCCAAGCCCGATTATTCCTCCTGTTTATCGGTAAAAAAGAAAACACTTGAGAACAACTGTGTTGTTTTGTTTGAAAATCAAGATTTGCTTTGTTTTGTAACAAAGTTACCTGAACAGACGTTGATGCCAGCTTCACGAACATGGTCAAGTGTTTCGAGGCGTTCGTCATAACTTCTAGTAGTGATGACGTTTGGGTAGTACTCTCTTGAAGTATCAAGATTGTGGTTATAAGCAGTGAGGCCAGCTTTCTTTAGCTCGAACGCTTGTTGCTTCTCAAGCATACCCAAGGTGCAACAAACCTCCATCCCCATGCCTCTGTTGTAAAGTGAGAGCTCAGAAACTAAGTATACACATATGTTACAGCCAAGAGACCATAATCAACATCATGTTCACTATAAAAGGATCACTTCAGATATATCTTCCATCAAAAGAGAAAAATTTATCTATGTGTACCTTATTTCTTTGACGTATTCAAGAATTTGGTTGAAGTTGGTTTTTCGTCCTACGGTATCTCGCCATGCAGCACCCATGCAAAACCGTGTACTACCAGCTTCTTTTGCCTAACAACACATTAAAATTTGTTAATTCACATCAGAAGAGCTCACATTCTCAAAATGCTTCTTTAAAACAATCACATGATCTCTACATTTTCAGTTGTCATCATCATACTCAATGCAATTTTAGACTCTTTTCGATAAAGCTCATATCGATAAAACACGCTAACCCACCGGAATAAAAGCAAAGGTTGATAATGGGACTAAACTTTAACATTTCTCATTGATACATTGTGCTACGGAATGTACATTTAGCAAAGGAATCGACAAGTAAACCGCTAACCTTCTTTGCAGCATCAATGACAGCATCCTTAGACATGAGTCTTTGAGCCTTGACTCCAGTGCTATATCTCGAAGACTGAGGACAATATGAACAGTCTTCACTACACCCACCAGTCTTTATAGAGAGGAGTGTACATTGCTGCACTTCCCTGAAGTTATGAACATGTCTATGAACCTGAGCCTGAAACACACACAAAAGATCCCACACACACCATCTCTTAATTCAAGTTAAGACAAAGACCAATGAAACCCATTTACACACTAAAGATTTCAGACCAGATTTCTTGGAATTGAAGCTAAATGAGATTCAAATTAATTATTCCGGGTTAAAACTAGAACTAAAAATCGATACTTACATAAACCCAAAAGCTATCTACTCCAAATTTGTGAACTT